ATGAAGTGTCGGACACGACTAAAGGACTAAACAACAACAAAGCTTCCCTGTTGCTAGCTCACCACTTTTCTCCTCCCTTTCTTTTCACATGGGTGAGGAACAGAAGCAGCAATGCTTCCCTCACCTCTTTCCATCTGCCACAGCACCTAGAACACCCCAACAGCAGCATCCCAGGTGCAAGGGGCTCTGGGAAACATAATTCACCATGTCTCCTAAGTCTAAACGTAAGGACAAGCTCTAGAGAACTACATTTTCCTAAGCACTTTGTTTCTGGGACACTGCTTTCTCAGCACTCCAGGTGCCACACCAGAGCGAAGAAAGCTTACCATTCCCCATTCAGGAGCATGGCAAGGTTCCCAATTCAGAATTGGCTGGCAGGGGAGGCATAATTCAAGGTTCCTAAATTTGGAGAAACAGCTGAGGCTACAGAGCCCAAACCCAGAACAAATCCAGGAGATTACACCCCTCTCTAGCAATGAATGGAAGAGGTTTGTCCAAACTGATGGTTCAACCAGGAACTGTATTTGTACAATGTACTATATTTAGGCTGCAATCCTGTAAACACACTTAGTTGAGAATAAGTGACTGAACTTAACAGGCCTTAAATTTGTGTAGATATATATTGGACTGCACTGTTATTAGTACTTAGTCAGTATACTAATCATGAATATATTGTGTTTCCGCCACTAATCAAAGATCAGTCGGAAGGGGGGAGCTCTACATTTAATTGCTAGATCCTTGAAACGCTGCAAAATAGCAACCATGCTCCTGCTAGGTTCTTATGCAGAAGACTTCAGACCTGATAAAAAACCTATTCACAACAAGCAAAGCAAAAGAAGCTCAAACAATTAAAAAGCTGGAACAATCCCTGCCTCTTTTAGTGGCAATATTTCTTTATCATTCGGACAGCATGAGGCTTCATGATGGATTACAAAAACAACAGTGGCGGAAGGGGAGATTGGGGAGGGGAGGGAGAAACACCAGGGAGCCTAAATAGTTATATGAAAACTCCTAGGAAAACATCAATCTTTAGTTGTGCAGAGGTATTATATATTTTAAAAAATCTAGGCATCTTAATCATGCTTCCAACAGATTCCTTTAGAAAAAGCCTGACTTCTCACACAGAACCAAATGAAAGCAACAAGCTCTATAAACGTAAGTTTCAAATACATTTGTAAGTCACCCAAAAAATTTGCATTACACAGCATGATTGCCCCAAGTTTAGGTGCCTTCTCCTCTCTGCATCAGAGCAGCCTTTGGTGCTCTAGATGTGGCACATGATTGCAATCCTGTGCACAGTTACTTATGCTAAAATCCCTTTGAAATCAATGGTACTTCATATGTCACACAAGTGAACAGGACTGCAGGCTAAATGTGTATAGGCTAGAAATGTATGAGGTTCACTGCACTGCAATAAAACGCAGGATATATCCCCCAACATGGCATGTTTAGCACAACCAATACCACTCTGGTTAGAAGCACTCAAAGTTAACAGTTGAAACCTGGTATATTCAAGTAAAAATACACCCCGCCCCACAATATTCCTCCCCAACTTCAACAACACCTGGATTCCATAAGAAAGTAACATCTCAGATAATCTATAATTCAACAGGCCGTCATATGAGCAATACAGTACAGGTGGGTGTGATTATGCAAATTATTTTGAAGCAGCCCCCCCCCCCACTTCCACGCCAGTGAGGTACCAGTGACTGGAGTGTCTTGTATTATTTTACTTCCAATGTTTTTATTTGTTTGAACACATGGGGGATTGCTTACACCTTTGCCATACATAGCGCAAGTCCTATTAAATCACATTAAAAACAGTCCTTAATCATAAAGGAACAAAATTCCACTCTGTCTGAGGATGCAGCTATACAGCTGCAAATAAAACATTCTAAGTGTGTTTTGACATGGGTGGTGCTGTGGTCTAAACCACAGAGCTTGCCGATCCGAAGGTCGGTGGTTCAAATCCCCGCTAAGGGGTGAGCTCCCGTTGTTCGGTCCCAGCTCCTGCCCACCTAGCAGTTTGAAGTGCAAGTAGATAAATAGGTACTGCTCTGGCAGGGCAGTAAACAGTGTTTCCTTTACCTTTTTACCTTTCCTTTACCTTTTTACAATGTTGCACTAGATGGCGATGGTGAGCCTTATGGAAAATTCAATGTAAAAACATGTTTTAAAGAAAAGCATTTTCAGAACTATATATATATATATATATATATATATATATATATATGTAGGTTCCACCTGAATTGTCACCATGTGTAAATTATGAGGGTATTTGTAGCATGTCATTATACAATATGAAAAGGAGCACATGCCAATTAAAGCAGTTATTCAGAATCTTGTCCCCCGTTCAAAATATTTGCTTAGCACAGGGCAGGAAAGCCCTGTCAGAGAACTTAAATAAGCAGTGTAGAGAGCATGAAGTTATGTCTATCTTGCCCTTCCTCCCCAAAAATAATAAAATCATGGAGTTGGAAGGGACCCTGAGGGTCATCTAGTCCAACCCCCTGCAATGCAGGAATTCTGCCCAGAGCCGTCCCTGGGTGGGCGCGAACCACTAACCAACCTTCTGGCTAAGAGTCAGACGCCATGACCCATTGCACCACCCAGGGCAGCAATAAGTTGTTACTTTTAAAGGATGCTGCTATTTTAAAGGGGGACGTGGATTATTATTCTGCTTCTTTGGGGAAATTATAACATTGGGGTTTTAATCCTATGCAGACTTCCCACCACCGACATGACTGGTTTCAGTAACAGACCGTGTGGTGCAAATGAAGGCACTTGCCTAACCTCCCGGCAGATGAATCGCTGTTCTTTACCAAGAGGAAGAGGGGGAGAAAAGAGGAGTTGCAAATACACCACCAGGAATGGCGTATCAGCTCTGCCAGTGCCTTTGCACCACGCTGAACTTGCCACCACCTTCCCCATCCCCTCCTCACGATAAGCTTCTGTTACTCACCTGCCATTAGGTCAGGTAAGCATCTCTGCCCCACTATGCTGTCCACTACTGAATGGTTTTGTCAAGCTGCTGTTTAACCAATATAAAGCCTACTGAAAGCTCCTGGTGGAAGATTTAATTGAAAATCAGCTGTCTTGTCATGATGATGCCATGGATCCAGCCTCCCAGTAGTAGCGTCCTACTTACTGGGACAGGTTGGAGGTAGCTCAGGGCATGTGCAGGCCTTCTAAGTAATCACCTGTTCCTTCCACAGACACCCGATTATTTGCATGAATAGGTCTTGAACCTTCAATTAAGTGCATGCAGGTAAGTGATTGCAAGCTTAGACTTAACTTTCCCATAATCGGATACTATATATTAACACCCCAATTCATAACATCTTTAAGTTCAAATGTGAACCTTGTTTGGCTTAGCTCCTTTGGTTTAACTGAGTTGAACTCATAGTTGGAGCTGAAAACCTGTTGATAACATTATTTCTTCTGTAATAAAGCACATTAAGATTCCTTCTAGTAATATGAATAATTCATTATAACATAGCAACAGAGCTGAAATCTCTAATACGGTCAAATTCCTTATTGATCTTTCTAATGAAGCCCTAAGAAATCATGTAACAACAAATTATGCTCTTTTACACGTTTTCAGCCACTTTCTGCCTTTAAAACTTATTGTGAAAAACAAATGCAAACGGCGTTTTTGCAATCGCTGCTGTCCACAAACTCAGTTCATCTCAAAGGCATAATTCCAGAGTAAACTGATGCAAGTACAGTATGCTCATGAAACAAGAAAATTTGGAGTTTTACAGTGCAATCTTGCAGAAGTTTACTCAGAAGTATGTCCCAGTGAATTAAATAGGGCTTATTTCCAGGTAAGTGGATGCAGGATTAAAGCTTGCAATCTTTTCCAACTCCCAAGTAAACGTGAAGAGGGTTGCAGTGTGGATTAGCATATTGATGTCAGTCTTTGGAATATGCAATTGTGTTCAGTTTCAGAACTAAAAGGCTTAAGACCATGAGGGAAATGTTTGATTCATTCTACACTTCCGGCATCCCCTGCTGGTTGACTATAGAAGAGGTTCTGCTCCGAACTGCCACTGCACAAAAATGCAATGACTCATGCAGAAGTCAGAGGAGCCTGAACAATGTCAAAATAGGGGGGGGGGGGAATAAAAGCCCCGCCTTGTTGGCTGAGGAGTTTCCAAATTTATCTCTCTGGAAGACAATACCCATTCTAGCCACATGAAAGATTATACAAATATGCTTGCTTAACAGCAAAACACCTTCAGCAGAAACAGACACTTGGCAGAACATTAAGATATCATAACTAATGTTTTGGAATCCGTTCACTCTAAATCACCAATCAGGTTACTAACAGAGTCTTTTTAACATTCACCATTTGGCTTCTGTAACAACCTAAGGGTATCAGCAAGTCTTTAGACACAATCCTGAATATTGGCAAGACCAGAGGAATAGAAGCTGTGTTCAGAGGTGAAGGGAAACTCATTTGGAAGGGGAGTCAAAATTTTCCTGGGCCTTGTCCAAATGCTCTAGCATTGAACAATGATCAGTAAGAAAACAGTCCACTCTCTCGTAGAAGCAGCTCAAAACTCAAAAGTCTACTTAGCAAGTTAAGATAAACTGAAGTGATCAGCAAGAGGCCTAAGAGAAAGCCCCGTATCATACAGCATTTTTCATACATGGGGAAAATGTCACAGCCCACATTAATACCGAGTGTTGGCTTGTGCAGTCAGAACGAAAAGTCACTTATGTAGAATGCTAATCAGCTCACGGATGTCAAAGAAAAAACAACTCTGCGTTGCTCCAACACAATCTGTTGAGTGGATATTAATGCTGAAGAAAACAACATGCAATTTCAAAGGTTTCTTTTATACAGCGAAGAAAAAAATTCCAACAATGAAAAACCTTGGTACCTGTAAAACAGCTGACTTCTGTAAGACAAAGACTGCAAATCTATACATGTTTTCCTGGGAGTAAGTCCCTCTGAACTCAGTGGGACTTACTTCTGAGAAGTCCATGCAAGTCTACTCTGAAGTAAATTCCTGTGGAAGCAAGGGGACTGGATACAAAAATATGTATAGGAGAAAAGCATAATTGAACTGAGCTGACAGAACCAAAAACAAAACAGCTATTTACTTTTCAAAGAAATAAATAAAATAGATGTTACCTCTGCTCTCTGAGTTCGTGGCAAAGCAGCAGATTTCTCGATGGCATAAACGTCCACCAGATACAGGCGAGCTCCTTGTTCCCGGTCCAAAATGGCCGCAGTCTGGATCACCCCGGTGTGGCGCCCAATGGTAAAGAGTCGGCCAAACATTTTGTCTTCACAACGCACCGAGACTATGAAATACTCCACTAGAGCTTCAGTGCCCCTAGGACTAGATGCCTCAATGGATATCACATCTGTCCCAATAGGCTCACCTTCTTTTAAAATGGTGATGTATTTTGGCTGAGTGAAAACAGGCCCATCAAGTCCTTGCAGAATTACAGTCATCTCAGTGGTGGATTTCCTTCTCTCTGGGCCAAGATCTGTGGCTGCAACGATGAAGCTGTACATAAGCTGAGATGGCACTAAGGTTGTTGACACTCTCAGGTCCCCACTGTATCGATCCACGATAAAGGTGTCTGTGTCCCCGTTAATTATTTCATACTCCACCTCCCCATTTGCTCCTTCATCAGGATCCGCGGCAACAATCGTGGTCAGAACTGTGCCAATCACAACAGAGGGGTCTGCAGCAAGGGCATTTTGTGACACAAAAGTAGGAATGTTGTCATTCTGGTCAGTTACCAAAATGGTCACATTCTTCAAAGCAAACTTTCTAGATTCTACAGGGACAGCCTGGTCAGTTGCTTTCACTGTTAGCTCAAAGAGGTTAGCAAACTCACGATCTATTTCAGCACTGGTATATATTGTTCCTTTGACTTCGTCGATACGGAAGTGGTTCCCTCTTGGCATCTGCTGAATGATTGTATAGGTCAGCTGCCCATTTATATCTGCATCTGGGTCATGAGCAGTTACAGCAATGACTGAGGTGCCAATGGCAATGTTCTCAACAACAGACTTAAATATATCTCCAGGTGGGAATTTGGGTGGGTTGTCATTATAATCCCTGACATATATTACAACAGACATGGTAGAGGATTGAGGAGGCCTTCCTTTGTCCTTTGCGGTGATGTTTAGTTTATACATGGACTGGGTTTCAAAATCCAACTTTTTGGCCAGGAAAATGCTGCCAGTGTTGGGACTGATGCTAAACGTCCCGTGGTTATTTGTTCCTGTAATGCTATAATGAAGGTCAGCATTGTCCCCCGAGTCAGAATCAGTGGCAGTAACAGAAGACACAAGTTCCCCAATCCTCATGTTTTCCAAGACATCAACAAACAAAGTTGACTTGGGAAAGGAAGGGCTGTTGTCATTTTCATCCAGTATGTCAATGTTCAATGTACAAACAGAGCTTAGGGGAACCACCCCAGAATCTACTGCTTGGATTGTAAGTGAATAAGCTGCAGTAGCTTCGTGGTCCAGTTTGCCAATTAAAGTCACCTGACCAGTGCCACTGTCTATTGTAAACTGGTTTTCTTCGTTGCCCTTAATGACAGAATAGTGGATCAGTCCATTATTGCTTTCATCAACATCGGAGGCAGACACCCTTAAAACGTGTGTCAGGTTTGCAGCTAGTTCTGATATTGTAGCTTGGTAAAGTTCTTTTAAAAACTTGGGTGCATTATCATTGATATCCTTCAAGTAAACCTGCACAGTTGCCTGGTCCCTTAAAGGCTTTGGCAACCCCTGATCCATCGCAATGACTGTAAGTGTAAACACAGCTGCTCCCCTCTGCCTCATAAGGGATTCCCTGTCTAACTGATGAGTGCTTGTAATTTCCCCACTCATGGCATTCAACTCAAAATCAGGCTGCATGTGTTCAAATGAGTATCTGACTTCACCATTCGACCCAGAGTCTTTGTCAACAGCACTGATTTTACCTACAAAGGACCCACCATTCTGCTCCTCCTCATAATAAAAAACGTAATTGGTACTGTTAAACAATGGCCTGTTATCATTGACATCTTCTAGAATGACAGTGACATTTACAGTGGCACTGAGCGGTTCCACAGCTCTATCAGAAGCCTCCACCAGTAGCGTGTATCTTTCCTGAAGTTCACGATCCAGCTCACACTTTATATACAACTGCCCATCTGGAAATATGCCAAAGGCATCTCCAGTATTTCCTTCTATTATGGCGTAAGCTATTTCTCCATTTGCGCCTGAATCTCGGTCAGAAGCATGCACGCTAAAGAACCTGGAGTTCACAGGCTCCAGCTCAGAGATGGTGACTTCGTAGGAGAGCTGGTCAAACACGGGTGGGTTGTCATTTACATCATGGACAGAGACTGTTAAAATGAAACTAGAGGAATGCTGAGGGACCCCCAAATCTGTGGCCATAATCTCCACTTGATAAGACCCAGCATTTATGTCCAGTGGCCCTGTCAAGCTTACAGCACCACTCTGCTCATCGACATTAAATAGGTCCTTGGGATTTTGCTTAAGGCTGTAGAGGACCTTGCCGTTCACCCCTTCATCAGGGTCAACCGCTTTGGCTTGGAAGATGGTATGCCCAGTACTCCAGTTCTCAACCACATTCACACTTTCCACTGCATGCAGGAAGTGGGGGGAATTGTCATTTAAATCTCTGACAGTTATATTGACCAAAGCATCCCCCGTTATTGTTCCACCACTCGCCACCACTTTGAGCTGGTAAAAGGCCTGCTCTTCCCTGTCTATGACGCTGGCGGTGGTGATCAGGCCTGTCATCTTGTGAATCTCAAAGATACCCCTCTGATCACCTGTGGTGATCAGGTAAGTGATGTTGGTGCTCAGGTCCATAGAGGAAGCGGAAACACGGCCTACGTGGTAACCCAAGGCCACATTTTCAAAGACCACAAAGCTGTAGATATCCTGGCCAAACACTGGGGGATTATCCTGGGTGTCTAAGACAGTGACAGTAACGATTGCCTGGTTCTGGGATTGGAGGTTGCCGCCATCACTGGCCACTACCTGCAGCTGGTAAGCAGTCTTTTCCTCTCTATCCAGGACTGTTTTGGTGGTGATAACCCCCGTCAGGCTATGAATCTGAAACCTGGAGGTGTCTCCTGCTGAGATGCTGTACCTGATGGTCCCATTCAGCCCAAGGTCGGGGTCACTGGCAGACACAGTGGCTACATAACTGCCTGCAGGCTCATTTTCTTGGATGTGGGCAAAGTACTGGACAGGGTAGAAGAGGGGGCTGTTATCATTCACATCAAGCAGGCTGACGTTAACCTGAGCCACTGAGGAGAGGGGAGGAGAGCCCAGGTCAGTGGCTAGGACCTGCAGGGTGTATTGCCCCTGTTCTTCCCGATCTAGCTGTGAGATTGTGCTGAGCCTGCCTGATATAGGATCCAAGCGGAAAAATCCCCACGGAGCAACTGACAGACCACCCGCCACCCCTCCCGGCTCAGATTCTTGCAAGGAGAAGCGCACTGTGCCATTATCTCCCAAGTCGCCATCGGCAGCAGTGAGAACTAGCAGCTCAGTTCCTGAAGGGGAATTCTCTGCCACAGACACATGATAACCATCTGGCTGGCCAAACCGGGGCCTCTCATCATTAACATCCAGGATATTCACAACCAGCTGGGCATAGGAAACTTTGGGCTGCACACCTTGGTCACGAGCGCTGACATTTAGCACTACCTGGGAAGCTATCTCCCGGTCTAGCCCACCAGAAGCTGCTGTGCTTGAGCCAGAAACCCCCAGGAGAGGCCTAGCCATGATGGTGTCAAGGCTTTTGGTGGTGACTAGGCCGCTGTGCTCACTAATACAGAACCAGCCCAGCTCATTGCCAGAAACAATACTATACTTGAGGTTGGCGTTAAGACCAGAGTCACGATCCGTAGCACTCAGGCCTTGCACATAGCTCCCGGGTGGCACCTCTTCACTGATATTCACTTGGTACACTGACTGCCCAAAGACAGGCGGGTGGTCGTTGATGTCGTTCACAAAGATCACCAGGCTAGCCACGGAGGAACGGCTCACCGGGGCAGGAGCAGCTCCTTCGGGGCTCAGGGCAGAGGGCAGGGCACTGGGGGATGGCGGGGGAGCCCCAAAGTTGTCCATCACAGCCACGGTGAGGTTATAGGTGGGTATGCGCTCCCGGTCGAGAGCAGCGGCCACTTTTATAAGGCTCAGGTTGGGGACTTTGCTGCTCTGCACCTCAAAGTGGCGCTGCTCATTCCCACCCAAGATGGACACCGAGATATTCCCATTGGCCGCCGGCGAGTCGGCATCACTAACAGTCAACAGCGCCACCACTGTGCCAGGCGCTGCATTCTCATCCACAGAGGCAAAGCGGGAGGTGGCCGGGAAATAGCGGAATTTGACCCGTGGCTCGTTATCGTTCACGTCGAGCAGGCGGATCAGAGCCTCGGCGCGGCCGCTTAAAGCTGGCACCCCTCGGTCTGTGGCCTGGACGGTGAGGGAGTACTGACGCCGGGACTCGTAGTCCAGCGCCTCCCGGATCCGGATGACCCCGCTTTCCGGGTCCACCTCAAAAGGAAGTGCCCCTGTTCCATCTCCAGCAGCACTTTCTGTCCCCTCCAGGCGGTAGTGGATGTCAGCATTGGTGCCCTCATCAGCATCCGCTGCCGTCACCTGCAGGACACTGGCCCCGACAGGTGCATCCTCAGGCACACGAGCTTGGTAGAGGGTCTGGCTAAAGACTGGCGGGTTGTCATTTATATCCTGCACCGTGACGTTGACTTGTAAGTATCCACGCCTCCGCGGCTCCCCTTTGTCCTCCACCTGCACCAGCAGTTGGTAGGCCGGGGTGGCCTCTCGATCCAGCCCGCCACGAGAGACCAAGTGCAGGAAGGCCCCTTCCCCACTGGGGTTGAGCGTGATGTTGAGCCGGAAGCGGCCCTCTTCGTTGCCACCCACGATGCGGTAAGAGCTGTGGTCCACGCCATTGGTCCCGCTGTCTGCATCGGTAGCCGTGTCCAGGATAAGCTGCCGGCCGCTCCCCGTGTCCTCCTTGAAGGTCACCACAATGGAAGGGTCCGGGAAGACGGGAGCATTGTCATTCAGGTCCAGCACCACCACACGCACCTCGCTGGGGTAGGTCGGTTGGCTGGAGAGCACCACAAGATCCATCACATCGCTGGCCAGGGTCTCGCGGTCGATGGTGGCCCGGGTGTGGAGGTCCCCTGAAGTGGCATTGATGGAGAACAGGGCGTGGTGCTCACTCAGGCGATAGGTGAAGCCCGGTCGGGTGGCAATGGTGCCCACCCAGGTGCCCGGAGGTTGCTCCTCCAGCACCTGGAACAGCTGCCGGGGCTCAGCTGAGGCGTGGAGCGGAGGCAGCAGCAGGAAGGAGGCGAAGTAGGGGAGAAGAGGCCAGGTGGAAGAGCCCATGGTGCAAGCCAGGATGTCGAGCGGGGCGGGGTAAAAATCCTCCCTCACAACCAAAGGCCAACCGAGCAGGCAAGCCAAGACAACCCAGAGATGCCCAAAGTTCGTGGAGAGTCGGGCAGGCAGCGCCAATCCACATCACCAGCGGAGCCCAGGTGGGGAAGAGCGGGTTGTCATGGCCTCCGCAGCCGCGGGCATCTCTTTTCGCGTGCGGGGCAGGCGCCAGGCGAAACAAGCCGTCGGTCCGAGAGCCGTCGCTGCCTCCCACCAAGGCGCAGCCTTCTCTTGTTCTGTTGCCGCTTCCCCTCCCTTCAAGCGACTTGTGCGGGCTGGGGGACCAGCGTTTGCTTGGCCAAAATGAACCCCCCGCGGCTCCGGGCTGGATGGTTACTCACGGAGAGCGAGAAAAGTCCGTCCAGTCCTTTCAGCAAAACTCGCGCCGAGAGCCGACGGGACGCGCGACGGAGCAACTTGGCGTGAAAAGTGCCAGCGCTCCCTTCTCGCCAGCTCTTTGCTCGCTATAACCCAGCGTCCTTTCTTTGCAGGGAAAAGATGCAGCCGATTCCTTCTTCTCAGCTTCTTCCGAGCGTCTTTTCTCCGCCGTCTTGCCCCACCTTTAGCCGTCGCCACCGCTGCTTGGAGCCTTTCTGGACGTGCGCGCAGCTCGGAGCGCTCCTGGGCATTGTGCGAAAAAGTTCTCTTCGGCTAAGAGCGGACGCCCCGGCTCGCCTCTCTTTTGTACATCCCTGCGAGCATCAGCTTCGCCGCGGGCTGGGCATCCGGCGGCGCGCACAGCACCCACAAGGCGCGCAGAGACACCTCGCCGGAGATCAGGGGTGCAAAACGAAAAGGGGAGACGCGGGGCGAGGAGACTCCTTTTTTTTTTTTTACTCTGCCGAGACGAGCAGGAACTTTTGGGGTTGCAGCGTCTCCCCTGCAAGGCTCGGAGCGTCCGGCAGCCGCTCAGCTGGGCGCGAGTTCGGGTCCCCGCTTCGCCTCCATCAGCTGCTCGGCTCGCCCAGCCGGACGGCAGAGAGGAGAGCGCGCTCGCGCGAGGGAGCCTCCTGCCCGCACCCACCGCGCAGCAGCGAGCCCGGCAGAAACTTTGCACGCCCCTCCTGGCGCTCTCGGCTCTTCACTCGCCGGCGCGACGCCCTCCTGCTCGGCCCCTCCCGCCCGGGCTCGGCGAGCCCGCCCCGTCCCCGCCTCCCATTGGCCAGCCGCCTCCCGGCCCGCCCACGCGCCTCCCCGTCGAGTCCCAGCTCGGCGGCCGGCTCCGCCCCCAGCCCCTCGTCCTCCTCCCCGCGCGGAGAGCCGGGGTCGCTTCGGCCCGCGCGCCACTGGCTCCTCGGCGCGTCAGTCAACAGGAGCGAGAGGAGCCGCCGCTCGTCGGAGGGGTCGGCCAGGGCAGCTCCGTCGGGCGGCCGCTAAGGAGCGTGGAGAGAGACGCTGCTGGTTACTCCGCAGAGAGCCGGCGGGGAGGGGGAGGCGATGGGCGACTCGCCGCCGTCAACAATAAGTCCGAAAGGGGATTAAGCAAAGCATGTCTGGGAAGGCGCGACGCGGATTTGGCTTTAACCGCTTCGCCGCCGTCGGAAGCGGGCGATTCGCTTTCCGTCCCCCGCTGCGGGACTCGGGAGCGTCGGCGCGGTTGGCTGCCGGGGCTTAGCGCAGGCAAGAGGTCCGCTTTGCCTCTAGATAAGGGTCGAGGCTTTAGACAAGAGGGGAGGGAAGACGTCGACATTCTATTCTCGGGGACCCCCATTGGGGACCCCCACCACCTTTCCTCGCCCGCCCCGAAAAGTAGCGGTTCTTCTGGGATTTCCGCATCCCCAGCAGCAAACGGGCAGTTCTCCCTCGCGCTGTGTACGCGCGCTCCCAGGCGCTTACTTAATTTGCAAACGGGTTACAGAGGTATTTTTTTTTTTTAATGATAATAAATCTTTTTTTTTAACCCGCCCAAAGGAGTAAATTGACAAGTATGGGAGGGCAGCCGGTGGCTGCTGCAGGAAACTTGGGCGCGTCTCATGCATGCTTCTCACAATAAGCATGTCTCTTGCACGCCAGTCTGGCCAGTCCCTTTGGGTGATTCTAGGCTGCCACTATTTCCAGGTGGAACAATCCAGGTTGCACAATTAATGGTGATTTGATAAAGAAAGTCATGGGGAAATGCACCAGAAAGTGTGGGGTAACACCTGCCTGACACAATATATGTACCGGTATAACCTCCCCACAAATCAGAATGACCACAACCATGTGACTCAGACACTGCTGCCATTTCTCAACTTAACCTCCCTCACAGGGTTGTTGTGGAGGTAAAATGGATTGGTGGAGAACCATTCGTGTCTTTTTGAGCTCCTTGGAAGAAAAGTGGGATATACTTATGTAATAATACATAAAATACATCTTGTCCTTTGTCTTACCTAGCAGAGTGACTAGAGCTGGCCTGACCTTGATTCCAGCAAGCAACCAATGAGCAAATAGAGTGGTACCTCGGGTTAAGTACTTAATTCGTTCCGGAGCTCCGTTCTTAACCTGAAACTGTTCTTAACCTGAAGCACCACTTTAGCTAATGGGGCTTCCTGCTGCCGCTGGTGCTCGATTTCTGTTCTCAGCCTGAAGCAAAGTCTTAACCAGAAGTACTATTTCTGGGTTAGCGGAGTCTGTAACCTGAAGCGTCTGTAACCCGGTACCATTGAACTAGAAATCAACACCGCCATTGCCTCTGTCTCTTTGGAGCTGACTGGATGAAACCACCCTACTTTTCCCTACCACTCTGCTTGGAGAAAGAGTGACCAATTTCCTTATTGGAGTAGACATTTATAGGCAGGAATTGCTTCAGGGTCAGAGTCACTGCACTGCCTTCTCTCTCTGGGCAGTGTGGTGGACGGAACTGGATCCACTGCACCACCCAAAGGGCAAGGTGGCAACTGCTGTTTGCCGTCATTACTTGTTTTCCCACCTAAAGAGCATTTTTGTGCCCTTCACCTGCGTACTCTCTGGGCGGCAGCCTGATCTCCGTCAGCATCCATAGGCGGGCAGAAGTTGCATGAATTGGCTTGCTTGGGGGAAAGGGAGTGGGGAAGGGTGCTGCTGAAGGCTGCTTCTTAAAGGCAGCTAGTCAAGGATACTGCATTTAATTCCACTGATTTCTACAAGAGACATTTAAGCCGATGCTCTTTCTTTGCTATTACATCTAGTTATAAATCCAAACCTGAGCCCAGTCAAAAACAGGTGCCCCAGCTGAGCCCCATGGATTCCTAGTTCAAATAAAACTCCTTTAATCACATTGATTTCTTGCAAGGGCATCAGTTAGTGCATTCAAGGTGTTGTGTTCAGAAAATGCAGGGGGAAGAGTTAAGCAGTTGGTGTTTGTATAAAGTGGATTGCTTCTTAAGTGGGACTTCAAAATCTCTCACACATCATATATCATTTCCCAATTTTCCAGATTGTTAGTTTTGTAATCATTCAAACAAGTATCCTGATAAGACATTCCTGACAGTAAATATAATTTTATTTAAAAAGAAAGCACACAAGCTGTCACTCATGGTTCTATAAGAAAGTAGTTTGCTTTGGGGGGGAAAGGGGAAGAAATGAATACAGACTAAATAAAATGTCTATTTTGCTTTATATGCAGAAAAGGAAGGGGAACTTATAGACCTTCAGATGTTGATGAGCTAAAACTTCTGTTAGCATAGCCAGTGATTCAGAGATGGTGGAGATTGTAGTCACACAAGATTTCATGGGCACCAATTTCCCCAGCCCTGATTTGAAGGAAACCTTTATTTAAACACAAGAAGAACCATGTTGCAGAGAAGATACCGTTAGCGGAATAAGCTTTGTACTGAAGAATCACACATTTGGCCTTTCCAGAAAGGCAACCAGTGTTGCACATTTTTTAAAATATTTTTTTCACAATCATTCTGCAAGTGAACAAGTGTTACAGCTATATTTCACAGTGGAGCCATGATGCCACTTGTAATGATGAATGACATAAAGGACTTGCACTAATTTGGGAAGGTTTCCTTTAAGCAGCACTCATGGGTTTTATATATATATAGGGTGTGAAATATATAAATATGTATAAACAGCAGCCATGCAATGCCCATTTCAAGATGGTGCTTTTTTCTTCTTCTGGGTGCATGCAAGAGAGCTATTTGTAAGGCATGCAGTGATTTCTGGTTTTTTCAGACACATTGCAAATGTAGAGTGCCCCAGTGCTGGTATTATGCTCTATATGAGGTCAAGGCAAGAATTTCAGCTCTCTTCTCCTGACCTTTATCCAAGTGCCAGGATCAACCTCAGTCAGACATGCAACTCAATTTTATTTCGGAACAAGTCAATGCCATTGTGTCCAAACGGACTTACTCTCTTATTAAATGGACTTAGGATTGCAACCTAACTCTGCTGCCACTTTCAAGCAATGGAAGGGGTGCTATTTTCCTAAGCACTTCCTATGAGTAAGTCGCACTCGAGCAGAGGACTTCTTCCAGCAAAACAAGCATCCTGTTCTATGCCATGGATAGGAATGGAAGCTTTTTTTCACTCACACATATGGTAGTTTGCTGAGTCCCTTCTGGGACTAGTGGCAGAATCCACTTAAAAGAAACAAAAACTGAACCCAGTGTGCACACTCTTTATATACATAACTACACCTGTTCCCATTCAGGAAAGCTGAGAAAGGCTATATTCCTTCCATACATCACAGGGAGAAGGGATATTTTGTTGCTGGCTCCCATAGGAATGAGCATAAGTGTGACGCTAAAAAGAAAACCTTTTGGAAAAAATGTCTGGGCAGACCCTTTGTTTATGAAAGCACACTGTGAATTTGCCATTGTAAGCCTGGTGTAAATACTTAAATGTCAATCTCCTAATGTGTTTCCAGTCTCATCTGCGGATTACTGTCTGCTATGCCGGTGCAGTGCAATTCAATGGCAAGTCAAGAGTGCCCCCTGGTGCTCTCATGCTATTAAACGTTGCTGGTTGTGTGTGTGTTTTTATTC